ATCTTCAGCAATTATCATCAATAATTGATCAACTTCTTTGAAACTTTGAACACCTTTCCCGATCTTCAGAAATTGACTCAGAAATCTTCATTTATTTTCAATATAAGCTCCCCCTTATGATGAAAATGAGGAGCATTTACATTATACACCGAAATAAATGAACTTTAAGGAATGTCGTCAATTCATATAAAGTTAAGCAAATCTTTTTAAATTCACTCATAATCTTTTCAAACTATGAAGGTGAGGGAAAGAACAAGATTCAACATATGAATTTGTTTTCAATCTTTATAAAAAGATTGACCTGTGAATATAATAAATATATTCATTACAACGAATGCACTTTATATATGAGACTTTTTAATGTTCATCTCACCAGGACTTCCATTCAATCATTGATAACTTTAAAAAGCGTATCTATGAATGTTATGACAAAATAACAAATATTTTGTAAATTTGTGCAGTGAAGAAATGATAATGCAACTAATATTTCAAATTAGGCTAAAAAAGATAAATAGTGTGGACTACACCAATTTATCAGACTCAATTGTGATCAACAAGACTTGAAGGAGGGACATATTTCCTTCTTTTTCAATATCAGTTATCTTCAAATGAGAAACCGATAGATTATGAGTTGCATGCCCCAAGTGTTATTGAAACACTTATCTTTTAAGAGATATATGAGTAGCTGGTGGGGTTATTAACAAGAGTTGGCTTGGGCTTCGCCTTTTTCAATATTAGTCTCCAAAGAATTAAGAACTAATAGATTGTGTGGTATCCCGGATTATAGTAGATAGATCAAGATTCTTTTAATCTTTTAATCCTGGACACAACTCTTATCAATTCTTTTAACTCACTTCAATTATCCATCTCATTTACATTTTCAGCTCTGCACACAAACCCATTTTTCATTTTAGTTCACTCAGATATGGATGTCCTATTGGGTAAGGCTATCGATTCTGATAGTCCACAGAGGTATTTTTGTTAAGCACTCAGTCCCTCCTAAAATTAACAATATAAGCTCATTTGATCACAAATGATTGATCAAAAATATTATTACAATTATGCACAATTGATCAGATGAAATTGATCAAGAAAAATGAAAAAAATGTAACAATTAATAACATGATCAAATAAGGAGTGATGCACAAATCAGATTATTCAGATAAATTGGGAGAAATGAACGAAGATCTGTAAGAACAAGTTTACAGATTTATACAGTCAAAGAATGAAGAAATGTGTACCAATCAAATAATTATTTTTTCAAATAAGCTCATAAATCAAATTTGAGTACTAGCAAGCGTATTATCATCAAAAATGATTTTTCATTTTAGAGACGTAATAATAACTTTTTGAAGAATAGTTGAATTAGATATTGGAAATATGTACGAAGAGAAAATACACAAGTATAATCCTAATAAAATACATGTTTAGAAATGGTACTCAGTAAAAAAAAAATCACGTAACTTTCTTCTTTCTTTCTTCTGTTTGTTCAAACCCAAGAACCACCAAAGAAGCTTTCTTTTCTTTTATCTGTTTTCAATTTCCCAAAAAGGAAAATAAGATGGCACAAGAACGTCCATAGATTCTTTTAAAAGAATAAGGTGATGGTAAGTGAGATATTTTAAGACAAGTTTCTAAAACACATCCATCAACTTCACAACTTTACAAAAACCACCCAAACTTTTCAAAACAATTTTAATAACAACCTCAATCTTTTACTCAAATAAACCCAATTATCACAACGACCTTCCTTTAAATGTAACTAATAATTTGAGAGTAGAACTCAGACTAAACAATAACTTTTAAGCAAGGTATTATGCATGTTATATGAATAATCGAGTTGATAGTCTTATTAACTATACCGAAAAAATGATTTATTCTATAAATTATAATGTGATTTGATGGAGTAAAGTTACAAAGAACAATAATGACTTAACTATAAGGATTAAATCATAGGTAAAATTTATGAAAAAAACATTTATAGATGTTTCAAGATGGATGAAGACCTAATTCACATGTGAATTTAGTTTTAGAAATTCAACTAGTATTCATGCTTGATGTAAATAATATTACATTTATAATTAACCAAAAGCTCACCACTCCTTAAACACTAAGACTATCATCGTTGACCTCTATAGAAAATTGGTTGATGAGCAAAACATAGTTGAATTTTATTGTTATTTTTCACGAAAAGTTGACCAACGCTTTTACATTGGTCTATAGAGAATTATGATTGGTCTTAGCAGATGTTCATGCATACATGTTATAATATACATACATACATACATACATACATACATACATACATACATACATACATACATACATACATACATACATACATACATACATACATCATATATACATGTATGCATACATGAGCACATACGAACATAAATCCTTTGATGCTCCAACATGATACAAGTAAAATCATTTGTTTATAAAGGAATTATAAAACCTACAATGTACATTACTTCACATATATACGATATTAAATACCTATAAAAAGGAATACTTTTATATAATGACATTAGATATTCATGTCATTATTTAGATGATGTGGCACTTCTTTAATCTATTGTCATTGTTGTTATGATACTTTAATCCATTTTAAAGATGGTATCTTATTTTAATATTTCAATCAATAACTTCGATAAAATATTTATGATGACATGTCAAACAATATATAAATATTAACTTTTTTGTTCTAGCTATATATATATATATATATATA